GAGAATTATAGAGTTGGAAGAGGCACCTAGAACCACCTAATCCAATTCCTTGCCTTCCAGGAATCCAATACTAAAGCATGTAAAATAATAATAATAACAGTAACGATCCAGCCTCCTTTTCAAAAAGTCTAATGAAGGAGAGTTCACAGCCTTCTTTGGTAGCCTATCCCATTGCCAAAAACATTTACGTTCATGTGCACCCCACATCTTACACCCCGGTTTGTATCTATCAATACAGACTATTATGGAGATGGGGACAGTGTAGACCATGGGACACGCATGACCCCCCCCAGTCTCATTTTTGTGGCCCAAACCTCACTTGAGCATAAAAAACCCACTGGGTGACCTTGGGCAGTCACACTCTCTCAGCCTCAGATAGCAGCAATGGCAAAACCCCCTCTGATGAAAGGAAACCCTGTGATAGTTTTGCCTTAGGGTCACCGTAAATCAAAAAATAACTCGGAGGCATACAGCAATGACAACAAAACCCCTCTAGCAACTCCTGGTTTTTAAAAATTGGCCAAATTGGTAGCTGAATTTTAAAAACAAAAACAAAACATGGTTCCCACTGAATTTGGGGGTGATCTTCACCTGGAAACTGGCCAAAATAATTCCCAAGCTGGCCACAAATGTGGCACATTACTCCAAAATTTCCCCCAAATAAGCTTTAAAATGGCTAAAAATTAGCCAAAAACGACAACCCAAAGTGCAAGGAGGTTGGCACCAAGGAGAAAAGTCAAGGAGTCATGTGTCCCAATGATATCACTCTCTGTCTCTCTCTCTCTCTTTCTTTCTCTTTCTATCTCTCTGGTTTCATTATTTGCTCATTTTGAGGTAGCAAATGAGGTGAAGTTGGTGTCATAAAGCATACCAAGCCTGGCCAAAGAAATCACCCTTGAAGGACAAGATTTAAAAGAGACCCTGTTGCTCACATGGACCAAGAAATGGACCATCCGTGGGGACGGGATCTAGGATTCTGCATATCTTTTTTCACAAATAGTGCACCAAGAAGCCTCCTCTGCCATGGCCAGCCCCTGAATGTCTTCCAAGGAGAAAGAGGTCTTCCCTTTTGAGTCTGCCAGCCATCCCAGGGCCCTCCTTGTTGCATTTTTATTTTGTCACATAACTAGAAAGTAGAAGACCCAGCAGGAGCTGCCATGAGAGGTCAAGTACCGTAGATGGGTCACCTCTCCCATCTTGAACCTGGGTGCCTTGAACAACATTACCCAGAATCCTGAGTGTGGGGCACATCCATTCCTACCATCCTTTTGCTCCTGACAGTATTATGGGATCCTCTTGCAAGATGTGGATCGAACTGCTGCTCTGGAAAATCAGCCGCTGGGGATGGAAAGATGCTTTGGGACAGGGCCACCAGGTTGAGGTGAGTACTCCATCTTCAGAAACTGAGGAATGGGACCACATAGGTGCTTGACTGGTCACCCTATGGCTGGGGTCTTGTGGGCAACGCTGTTGTTGTTGTGTGCCTTCAACTCTTTTCTGACTTATGGTAACCCTAAGGATCATGGGGTTTTCTTGGCAAGATTTGTTCAGAGAGAGTTTGCCTTTGCCTTTGCCTTCCTCTGAGGCTGAGACAGCATGACTTGCCCAGGATCACCCAGTGAGTTTCCATTGCCAAGCGAGGATCTGAACCCTGATTTTCAGTCTCCTATGCTCAAACCACTAGGCTCTCTTGCAGGTGACATACACAGGTGTAACGGCAAATTGCACCTACATATATCCTTTTCTGGTTGCTGCAAATGGATGAACAGCCGGCCCTCCCTATCCACGGATTCTGCATCCATGACTTGAAAATATATATTTTTAAAAACCCAAAAAGCTAACCTTGATTTTTCCATTTTATATAAGGGACACCATTTTACCACACCATTGTATATAATGGGACTTGAGTATCCACAGATGTTGGTATCTATGGGGGGGGGGGGTGTCCTGTAACCAAGCCCCAATGGATACCAAGGGTCCACTGTAGTTGGCATCTCCATCTGCAATGGCTCTTTGCCCTCCTTACCCTCACCTGGGTATAACCCTGTGGCCACTTAGTGATCGTAGTGATAGAGTGATTTAGCAAACCATTTCATGATTTAGGATGTTGGGCAGCATCCAGCCAAGTGGGAGAAGAATCAGGCATCCTCATGGATCTCTCAGGCATCCTTGGCAATGGCATCACTAGAGTTGGTGCCAACCCAGTACAACAACCCCCAAGCTGCCTGGCTGGCACACACCCCAGTCATCCCCCTCCACCAGCCAGGCCACCTCTCCTATGGTGAGGGTCCCAGCAGCCCATTCTGGGCCTGATATGGCTGCTGAATGAATGAGAAAGGGAAGCAATGCCCTTTCCCACTTGCCCAGCAGCTGTGCCAGTCCTGGAAGGGGCTCCTGGGTAGCAGAAGCGCCCCATTCCCACCAGCAGACAGATGGGAATGACAGCCCCACCAGGTGTTCACCCGTCTCGAGGTGTCACCCAGTGCAGTCTGCACCCTCTAGCCATGCCCCAGTCCTCCGAGGACTTTCCCTCCCCAGAGATCCAGAAGGAGGATGTCCTCTTCCTATGTTCAATTGCAGAAAATGTGCCAGACCCCCCTCTGCCCTCCCATGCCCACTAAGGGGCCAGAGGACAAAGCTACTAACAAAAAAAGGAAAGTGGGACTCCCAGGGGGTGAGGGAAGGACCACAAAGATGCTTGGCAGGACTTTGGGCTTCTCTAGATCAATGGAGGATCCCAGTCCGTATCCCGCGCCCCCCACGAACTTTTGGCAGGAGCCAAGGCTGGTGTATAATTAAGAAGGTGAGGCTGAGAAGAGATGAAAGTGTTCCAGCCTAGCGGAGGTGGAGAAACATGTTCTTCCTGCTCTTTCGCTGGCTCAGGTAAGCCGGGAGCCACTTAGGAGGTGGCGAAATTACAGTTCGGCACACAATGTTCCCCTTGGCACCCGTGCCAGCTTGATATTAAGGTGAGATGGCAAAGGAGGCCCTGGTTCCTTCTGAAGATAGTAGAGAGATGCAGCCTTCGTATGTTGTTGTTGTGTGCCTTCAAGTCATTTCCGACTTCTGGTGACCCTAAGGCAATCCTATCATGGGGTTTTCCTGGCAGGTTTCTTCAGAGGGAGTTTACCATTGCCATCCTTTGAGGCTGAGAGAGTGTGACTTGCCCAAGGTCATCCATGGCTGAGCTGGGATTCGAACCCTGGGCTCCAGAGTCCTAGTCCAACACTCAAACCACTACATCACTCTGGGTCTGTTTGCATGGACCAAGTCTTATGACTCCTCTGCAGCTTTGTGTGTATGCCTGTGTTTGTGTGTGTGTGTGGTGTTCATGGGGCATCAAAACTGACGCTCAGTCATTTGACAATGCCTGGATAAGGCAAATGCGTGGCTCTCATTTCAGCTCTTCTTTCTTGACTCTCCAGCCCTTACATCCATCCATAGGAATAATAGGGAATACAATGGCTTGTATAATTCTGACTTTTGTGCAGAGTTGTATCTCTTTGCATTTTAGAATCTTTCCTAGTTCTTTCATAACCATCTCCTCATTCTTGGTCTTCTTCTGATTTCCCAACTGCAGTTCCTGTTCTGATCAATGTTTCATCCCAGATATGAGAACTCTTTTACTATTTCTGTTTCTTCATTGTCTAGTTCGAATGCGTGTAAGTTCTCTGTGGTCATTTATTTTTGTTTTCTTTATGTCCAACATTAAGCTTGCCTTTGCACTTTCTTCTTAGATCTTCCTTAGTAGGTCTTCCAGGTCTTTTTAGGTTCTCTGCTAGTATTATGGTGTCATCTGCATGTCTCAGATTATTGCTATTCCTTCCTCCTCCCATAAGAGCCTGCCAGAAATGTGAGCTTTTCAGAGGAAGCCCTTTTGTGTTTCCCAACAAACACCTTGTGATGTTATGTTGAAGGGCAGGTTGATCCTTCTCCAAGCAGGTGGAACACCTTGTCCTGCCTCCACAGTTGCATGTCCTTCTCTCACCCTGGGAACTGTCAAGTCCTGCAAAGCTGTCCTCTTCTCCTTCCTTCTCACCAATGAAGAAGGGAAGGAGGAGGGAAGCAAGTCAGACGATGATGAAGAAGAAGCCGGTCTCAGCTCAAAAGGGAAGAGAAATGAGGTTGCACTCACCGACAGAAGGCAGCCTCCTTTCCCTTCCCCTTGGAGACCAGGGCTCCACATTTTCATCGTCTGAATTGTCTCCCCATTTCTCTCCCCTCCCGAAGGTCCTTTCCTGGGTCTTGACCATTGCTGGGAAGGAAATATTTATCTATTTATTTCAAGGATTTATATCCCACCTTCCTCCCACATTGGGATTCAAGGCGGGTTACAATAATTTGGAGGGTTTTGCTTATCTTTTCTTTTTTTAAAGAATAAGAAGGAGAGATAGAGGAAACTGTAGATGAAGCAAGTAAGAAAGGTTAGAGGTTTAAGGGCAAGTATGTGAAGAAGGTATGAGTAGCTAGGTTAGGTATAGAAGGAAGATTGATGAAGGGAGAAGATAGAGAAAGGATTAGAAAGATTGTAGAAGGGATATAGGTAGAAGGTATGGAAGTTGGGAGAAAGAACCATGGCAGTTGAAATGGGATCAAGCTGCATTATTTCGACAGTGTAGATGCACCCTGGATCTGCTCCACCTCAAAGGTGTGAACTATCCAAAGTGCTGAAAGCATGAAACCAGAGTGGGATCGCTTCCCAAGTGACCCTGAAGCCAAGGGGTCCGATGGGAACCATTTCACTCAACTGAAGCCATCCCATGCCCCACAGAACTTGTTGCATGATTTTACTGCATGATTTTAGCTCAGACATTTGTATCCCATACCTTGTTGTTGTTGTTGTTGTGTGCCTTCAAATCATTTCCGACTTATGGGGAGCCTAAGGCCAACCTATCACAGGGTTTTCCTGGCAAGTTTTTTCAGAAGGGGGCTTGCCGTTGCCATCCTCTGAGGCTGAGAGAGTGTGAATTAATTGCCTAAGGTCACCCAGTGGGTTTTTATGCTCGAGCAGGGATTCGAACCATGTTCTCCAGAGCCATAGTCCAGGACTCAAACCACTACACCACACTGGCCTTAATGCTTTTTGACTAGTATCTTGGCCAGACTTGGACTACAGCACCCATACTCCCTGATGTTGAGCCACAATGGTTTATGGCATTTTTCACGTGATTGTTTACTATCCAAAACAGCTCAAAGCCATTGCAAAAACACTGTGTCCCTCCTGAAGGGGATATATATATATATATATATATATATATATATATATATATATAGGGTGACACTATAGTATTTACAATTGAAGCTGCTGAGCTATTTTAATACATTCTTTGCATACTTGCCTCCACTGGCTTTGTGAAGTGTTGGGTTTTAAGAGATCATTCTGTTTCCAAGCTGGCCAACCAACCAACCACTTGCACTTGGACATCATTTCAAAAGAGTCAGTGAATACTTTTCTTGTAAAAGGAAGGGAGCGGGGTAAATCCCTTTCCCATACATTACATAAGTGAGATCTAATACCAATGAGAAGGCTGGCTGGCTGTGCATGAAAGTACAGTAAGTGGACACCTTCATGTCAGCGGGTGACTTGGATCCATTGTTTTATATCATCAGTTTCTGCCACACTTGGATTGTCTTCGCAGGCTGGATGAGTTTGCATGCAAAGAGGACCGGCCCATCAAGTTTAGGCTCATCTTTTAAAATGGTTGTGTCATTAGAAAAACAATTCCATGTAAAGCTCACACGGGAGGAGGAAAAGAGATTTGCAATAAGGAAACTGGAATCATTTCAGGTTATGATGCATGTACCCAAACCCTGGTGTCCCATGCTTTGAAAACACCCTCGGAGGTGGGAATTCCCTTTTCCCTAGAGAGTCAAAGCAGATGATACTGGCCTCCATGGACCCAAGATCTATCCAATTTATTTTATGAGTTATATATCCATTTTATGAGTTATACGTATATCTGTTTCTCCCCATGGATTGAGGCAGGGATCACCCATCCGTCCATCCATCATCTCAGCTACCAATTTTTCTACTCTAGCATCATGTATTTTGTGCATTTTGGTTGTCCAGTTAAAGGTATCCCTGTGTTTGTGGCTTTTGGAGGTTATTGTACTTTGCTACATGGCCAACACAGCTACTCCTGGATATGTAAACCTTTTTTACTGCTTAACAAATTTGCTTTCTCAATGTATCTACAAACCTCTAACGCTGATCAAACAGTGTTTGCAAAGGACAAAGCAATGTCCTCTGCATACTTTTATTCCATGTTCGAGTATATTGGATAGTGTTCCCTGTGGGATGGCCAAAATAATTACTGAAAAGGAAATCATTAGACCAAGATTAATTACAGCCCACATTCAGGGCAGAAGCCAAGCAGCTACCTGAAAGCCAATACATGGAGGTGATCGGAACGAAACGCTGTGTAAATACAGTCTTGCATGCTCTGGATGCGATAACCAGAGAGATGGCAGCGGCTGTTTTTTGTCTGTTGAAAGTGGATGGATGGTTAGATTCAGGCTTCGCATAGGCTGCAGAAAGCTATAGGAAGGGGTCTATATAGTTCCCTGGCAAGGGATCCCAAAACAGGCCTGCAGCGGGTTTTTAATCTGCATTAATAATTTGCAACCTGCAATGTGCATGCAGTGAATTGTCATGATGCATTGACACTGTGCATTGCAATGAAGCAGTCAGCATTGTTGGGGGATTCTGGGAGGTGTAGTATGAAAACCCCACAAGCTTTTCTCACTAACTCCCTCGATCCCAGCATGTTAAGAAAAGTACCAGAGAAGAAGGATAATGGGGCATAGGGTTACAAAACTCTAATGGGACCTAGAACCCTTGATTTCCTGCTGCTGACTGAGGTTTACAGACCTGAGTTTGCAGGAAGAGGCATGTGAGGCGATCCAGCTCCCTCTTGCTTTTCCAGGATGCAAAGTTTTTGCATCATTTTAATGGAAGCAGGCGCTGATTAAAGAGGAGATTCTTGGTTCAGAGATGGCATAGGAAGGGTTGCGGCTTACCCACCCAATGTGCATTTGCTCATCCCAGTTCTTATTTACATGTTAATTTTTTTTTAAAATCCCAACTTTCCACCAATGAGCTCTTGCTCACAACAGCCCTGTGAGGTAGTTCAGGCTGAGAGCAAGCGACTGAGCTGCATGGCTCAATGGGACACTTGAACCTGGGTCTCCCATCTAATGAAGCAGATAAATCCACAAAAGTCTATGCTAGATAGTTCTTCTTCCCAATTAGTCTCAAAGGTGCTACTGAATTCTTTTACGGTTGTTTTAAATGGTGAAACAGATAAATGTGTCTGTCTTGCTTGAGTACTGCACCTCCCATGTTCTCCTAGTCCAATTCTCTAACCATTACACCAAACTGGTTCTCATGTGGCTCATGGGCTGGGCAGTAAGGAATCATCAGCATGGAATGCCTCCTACTTTTGCATGTGTTGTTTTTGCTGTTGTTGTTGTTGTTGTTGTGTCTCCAAGTCATTTCTGACTTATGGCAAACCTAATGTAAACCTATCACAGTTGGCAATATTTGTTCAGAGGAGGTTGCCTTTGCCTTCCCCTGTTGACCAGGGTTTGAAACCTGGCTGAGCCATGTAAACCCACTGGGTGACCTTGGGCAAGTCACACTCTCTCAGCCTCAGAGGATGGCCATGACAAAAATCCCTCTGAAGAAAGTTGCTAAGAAAACCCCAAAGTTTGTTTCCAAAAGTTGGAAATGACTTGAACCCATATTGCATCCAGAGAAGTGGGTTTATAGCCACCAAAGCTCATGCTAAAATAAAAAGCAGTTAGTCTTAAAGGGTTACCACATTTCTTTATATTTCTCCCCCTCTTTTTCGCTTTCCTTTCCCCAAGGAGGTTAGAAATTAGAAGATGAGATCTATTACCATGCCACACTGTCTCAATACCTGATCACAAATTTCTGAAAAATGTAAAAAAAAAATTGAACATAGCTTGGCAAGGTTCCTTTTATTTAGACTAAAGACTGGTAGTCTACCAAGTGGCTAGTCCATACTACTTCTAGCAAATTAAGAGAATCAGAAAAAGAATATTTCATTGCTTCATGCTGCAATTCAATACTCATTTACCAGGTGCAAACTCCATTGTACTCAGCAAGTCTTATTTCCAAGTCGAAATGCATAGGATTGCATGATTGTTCTCTCTTTTGCAACCAACGATGCCATTAGTGAATCAACTACATCTAAACAAGTTTGCATAGAATGAAATTGCTGATGCAGGGGTTTATATCATTTTGATATACGGGAGACAAGGAATTGTATCCACACTGCAGACTTAATACAGCTTGACACCACTTTAATGGCTATGACTCCATCCTACAGAAGCTGGGATTTGTAGTTTGTGGTGGCACCGGAGCTCTCTGACAGAGAAGGCTCAAAAAACCCATAAAACTACAAATCCTAGGATTCCACAGGATGGAGCCATGGCAGCTAAAGTGGTCAGAAAATGAGGAAGGACAACTTGCTTGCAAGGTCATGAACAACAGCCATCCTCTGTTGAGAGAAGGAGCCACAGGACGTATTAATTTCCTTTTTGTCTCATGATTTATTACAAGAGCACTCCACAACATAAATAAGTGCAAGCCATAAAGAGGCAAGTACACACTTGAGCCATGATCTCACCAATGTGAAATTAGCTTCCACCGATGAATCAAACCCAAACTTGGTCATCTACCAGTTGAGCAGGTTAAGGCTCTCAGCCCCATGAGAAGCCAAGAAGATTTCCGGAGACGTTGGAAACCAATGTATCTTCCCCACTCCCCATAAAACCAATGCTTCTCCTCCTCCGAACCCCCAAAGGCTATCCCATGTACCCCAAAGTCTAGGCTTGAGTTAGCTTTCCAACTGCTTCCCATGGCTCCAAAGTCAACCTTCTGCCCATAACTGTGTGTAGGTCAAGGCTGGGCAGCTTTCACACTGGTTGGGTTTGCTTGGTTTTGCATACTAAAAGCCCAGGTTCTCTCAACAAAGCCAGGAGGAAAAGCCACCAGAATCCTTTTAATAAGAAAAGAAAAGAGTGTAGTCAGAGCTTGGAAGGGTACGTTTTTGGATTTATTGTTGGGTGCCTTCAAGTCAATTCTGACTTAATTAATAAATAATAATAATAATAATAATAATAATAATAATAATAATAATAATAATAATAATAATAAATTTTATTTATATACTGCCCTGTGGCGAGCCAATCTGGGTGGTGTACAACAATAAAATAGTTACAGCTTAAAATAGTATGATTTCCCTCCTCCCCCCCCCTTAAAAAGTTATTAAATCGCAACACAATTAAAAACGATCTACAATTAAAACACAACAAATTAAGATTAATTAGGGAGGGCTGAGAAGGTGTGACTTGCCCAAGGTTTTCATGGCTGAGCAGGGATGGTTGGATTACTGTTGGCCAGATCCCCCAAACAGCTCCTCCATTATCAGTTGAGAGATCTGGGGAGCCGTAACCCCCCAAAATCAACCTTTTCACATTTTGTCTAGGATAGAATTGCTCTTGGAATCCTTTTGCATAAAAGCCCCAAAAGGTATTCAGTCCAACCGCCCAAATTAAGTCGGTTGACTCATAAATCTCTCATATGGTTTCCTTAGCAAGAATTTATAATTTATTTATTTTTTTGGAAAATATCCCCCACTTTCTGCACAATCAGAGCTGATCAAAACCTACTACCTCCAGTTGTTGCAGTTTACACTTGGTTTATTTTTCTGGCATCTGGATTTTGCACCTTAGAACCAGAGCGGAGGAAGATAAGTGTAACCTCCTGACATCACAGCATATATTTTAATCCTAATAAGCAGGGAGGCAGGTCACTACAAAGCCTGTGTGCTTGGCATTGGGTTGTGCTTGTTAATACAAATTATCTAGGAGGAGCCTTCCTAGTCATCCAAGCCAAATGCCAAGGATTTAAATCCCTTCACATCCCTCTTGGATCTCTTCTTGTTTGTAACATGTTTGTTCAGGCTCTCAAAGGCAGACCCAAAGACACACACTTCAAGCTTTTGGGTTTCTGTTCAAGGCGCAGCAGAACAGAGATGGCTCT